ATATTGGCATTTCTGTCACTGCTCATTGCAGCAATATTGTTCTCCATATGCTCTTTTCATCAGCATCTCATCATTATTGGATAAATATGTCTCTCATTATGCAGAAAATTATTTTTGAAGTATGGAATCATTATTTTGTTACATAATTTCCAAATTTGGACCTTCGCAAAAATTTATAACAATCTTCAAGAATTACTGTAATTAAAGGAAAACTTTCTACAAAGAGAATTAATCAGATCAAAGAAGCATTTAAATGTAAATCATTAATCTGTGCATTACAGGAAATAGTGGCTATGTATAGTTCATTTAATTATACTTAGTTCAATTTTGTTTTCTCATTACATCACAGTTTATTCGGAATTAATTTGCAATTTCTTGTCTAATGTGACTTCTGTTTGCTTAATATAGCAGATATTTTCACTAGCATGTATTTATATATAAATAAAGGTTTATTAATGACTGCAGTGTTAATTAAGCTGTGGGCTCTGCTGTCAATTAGCTGTGAATTTTGTTGCTCTGTGGATGCAGCACAGAAAGTCTGTGCTCTGAAGATGAGAGGTAGAGTGTCAAGTTTTTGAATGTATGAATTTATACAGTAGATTGGGGCTGTCACTTGCTGCAGGGGACCAGGTGACACAGAAGACAACATGGTTTTGGTTCCCTTATGGAAAAAAGTAAGTTATGTTCTCTAAGTCTATAGTGAGTAATTGGTAATTGAAATGGGAATCTCCCAAGCTGCAGTAGGTTGGTAGCTGAAGGAAAGAAGGTCTAGGTGTTGTGTCAGGTTTTAGGATGTAGGGATTTTGCATAAGTGGTTTGCAGGTTTTATAATCCTTATGTAATGTCTTTGTGTAGTGTGATGGTAAGAAAAATTTATTTTCTGTGATTTGGTTACATTATATATAAAATTATTATAGAATGCCATGTTGATTTTTTGAAGTAGTGTTTTAATACTTTGATAGTATATTAATATCTATACTCCCTTACCTGTTTTCAGCAGCACTAAAACACTGACATTTTAATATTTTACTGATATTTTTATTTTACACTGCTGACATTCCATACATTTTTAGCTTAAAATTTTAGTAGTAGATTAAAATAAGCTGGGTTTGGGCTTCCCCTCTCCCCCCGCCCCTCCCTTTAATCAAAAGACTTAATTTTCATTCTGATTTTCATTCTTCAGCCAAATGCCTTGGACTATCCAGTAATAGCAGCATCTGTGTTAAGTTTGGACTCAGCTAATCTTTTGGAATCTTTGAATACTGGCTTGTAAGCCAAAGTGTAGCTATCCAAGAGCACATCTGGCTTGCATAGTATTACCTCATTTGTTAAGGTAGTGCTCCCAGTTTCTCTTCGTTGCCTTGTTTTCTGTTTGCTGGAAAGGGGAATTTGATACAGAGGCTGTGCTGGCAACAGAAAAAGTTTAAGGAACTTGAGTGTTTTCTTTCTTCCTGTGCTGAAATTCACATTAGAAGTCATGGTTTTGGTGCATAGCCAGTTATAGTAAATAATCAAATAATAAGAAATTCTCAGCCAGCTGGGCGCTGGATAAATGTTTAAGCACTACCAGCTATTCTGTCAGGTTTGCTGCAAACAAACAAAGGTAGAGTAATATTTATGTTGGTAAATTTCTTAAGATTACTGTTATTTCTTTCAATAAGTGAAATTACCTCTTCCTAGGAGGATTGTTGTGCTACTTATAACAAATGAAATGCTGTCAGAGTTCATGTGGATAAGCAGATGTTTGCTGAGGAAGGCAAAACGACTTGTTGGTTTGCACTGAGAGAGAAATGTTGTTTCCTGCCTTGTAATTTAGGTATTTTCAACCTGTGCTAGATGGAAGGAGATAAATCTTAACAATACTCTCATCTGAGGAGTTTGTAAGAAATGGGATTTGCAATGTGTTTGCTTTGCTTCTATTTACACCTGTAACAGAACAGTGTGGGAAGAATAGTATTTTGTTCTCAGTATTTGTTATTAAACATGCTGCATGCATGGGGAAATAAAGACATTTGGAAATGGGCAACCCTGGGTTAATTAAATCCATCTGCTGTCTGACTAATGATAGTAATATTGAATCCAGGAAATCTCTTAGTCTGAAAGATTTGATAAAGCACACAAAGTTTTCTAATAAAGCACTCTTAAAGCCAGCAAGAACTCATGGAACTGGAGAGAAAACCAGTAACTCCTGGAGAGTAACTCAGTGTTGTAAGGCTGTGCTTCATGCAGGAATGTCCCAGAAGAAAATAAGAACCTCATTTGTTGTTCCCTGAGATTCAAAATTATAACTAGCAGGAATGGTAAAACTTGTTTACATCTCATCCTACATGAAGTTGTGGTTTATGGGGCTATTTTAAATGTCTGTTTCCGTGCTTGTAAACAGACAGGATACAAATGTTCATTAGGAAAGAAGCTACCTTCATTAGGAAGGTGCAAAAATGAGCTTTCAGAGGCATGGTGATGGCAGCTGAAAGAAGACAGACTTTTGATTAGTATTGGCTGGCAATCTGACCCTATAGAGAGTAATACCAATACCTCTTTCTAAAGAGAAGTGCATATCATACAGCAAGTATGATGGTTGCTTTTTATTTACACTGCATTAAGTAATATCACGAGGGGGGAAAATGTATTACAACTTACTTCATGCATTACTTTTTGTATTGGTCATAGGTGCTCTTCCGTATTGTTTGAACAATGATTTTTGTAGCTGTAAGTTAGGTTTTGGTAACTTCCTAATTCATGGTTTCTGGAAAAGAAAACTGAACACATAGTTGGAGTTTACTGCAATAATTATTTGATTAATTTGCATTTCATGTCCTCAAGCACTTGTACAAAACACAGGATGGGGGTGGGCAGGGACACTTGAGACATTTGTGGAGACCTGGATGCTTTTAAAGCAAGGAAAATATAATGAGTGGCAGATGAAGAATAGTTTATTCCACGTTGATTTGACAGATGGGTAAAGCAAAACTCTGAGAGATTAACATTGTTGTTCAATTTAATGTTTAAAGCATACAAAAAAGAATGGCTTAGGAGAATTGAACATGGAGGATGGGTTTGAGTGATCTGCATTGGAGGAACTTGTTTAGGCTTCCTTCGTAGCAAATTGAAGTCACTCTAGTATGTGATTTAACACAGCTTAAAGCAGGAATTTAAAATAGGTCAGATGAATCCCTCTCTGAAACGTCTGTTTTTCTGCTCTGCATTTAAAGTGACCATCTCAGATATGGACAGCTGGAGTTTGATTAAATGAACACCTTTCTCACTATCACATTTTAAGACCCAAGTTAATTATTGCTTTTTGTAGATGCTAAGGACAATTTGTTAAATAACACAGTTCAAAAAGTGGTTTTTATACACTTGTGCCAGTTTGAATGTAGAAATTTACAACGTGTTTCTAAACACGTGTGTCACATGTTAGTACCTTGAAAATGTGGCCTGAAGCATAAATCTGCCATGTATGCTTTTTAGTTCTGCTTCTCTGTCCTGCTGTTTTGGCTGACACCCCCCTCCTCACACACAGTGCCGGAGCTGAGCACAGGCTGAATGCTGTGACTTGCTTTGCTCTGCAGAGATGTGTATTCACTGGAGAGCTTAGCCTTGAAAGTGCAGAATACACAAGTGAGTTTGAAAATAGTAATTGGCCTCATTTAAAACATTTTCTGTCAACCAATTTAGCTTATCAAACATTTAAGTAAAGAAAAAGAGAAAGGTTTGTACTTTTCTTATCTTCTATAATAAACTTGCTTACACTAGTAAGCATTGTAGTGTATACTAGGAGTTCATAGTGACTTCCTAGCAGGTGAATTAGCAGAGATATGTTTTGTGGAATCACCTATAATTACACAGTAGCCATGGTTACCAGGTTAAAGAAATCATGTCCTGATGACTAACAGAAATAGACTACAGCAGACTGGTTTGCCTTCAAGTTGCTTAGTAGCAAACTGTTCAAGAATAAGTTTGTGAGGTCTGAGAACATATGAATAACAAACATCAAAGCACACTCCCTTTGCTGAACTGAGTCTGCTTTTTCAAATCCTTGTTTTGATAAAAAAATCACAGTATTTTTTTAGAAGTTGGGGTTCGTGAGTATTTAGTTTGAGAATTGGGTGCCAACCACATATTTGCAACAAAACTATTTAATTACAGTAGCTAAAATTTTAAATTAATATTGCTAATATTTCCATTTTGATTTAGTACTGGACAAAGTTAAGTAGAAACAGACTTTTCACATTCAGTGAAAGTTGTATTCCCTTCATTTGAAATCTGACACTTAGAATGACTTAATGGAAGTCTTTATGTTTTCTTTTAGGTGCTCTAGCACTTAGAAAGAAATGACAGAAATGTAGATGAACTCAAGTGGGAAGGACAGAACTGGGTTTAAGGGCAAATGTTATGTTTGCACTGTTGTTGGTGGACCCATTTCAGATGTTTCTAGTATGTATAGAATCATTAAATCATTTAGGTTGGAAAAGACCTCTAAGATCATCTAGTTCAACTATTAATATATTGCTTGGAAGCATCAAAAGTACTTGAGTGCATTTCCAAAAGGGAGTGCAGATGTTGAGGAGCTCAAGTCCTCTTGATTTCAACGTAAAGGACAAAAGATTTAATGTTTCAAGTTTCCACATGGTTTAGAAACCCAAACTCTACTGGGTTTTGTTAGATTTAAGGCCCATTGGGTTACTCTCCCTCTATGAATTATGAACTATGTATTCTGTATTTAACTTGCACATAAGTCCTATAACGTTTGTGTTTTACTATGTAGAATAAGATTTTTTGGCAATATTTTTTTCCCTAGAGAATGGATGCATTTAGACCTGGTCTTTTGCGCCAGGGAAGCTTTCCTAGGGATCCTGGTTGGGCCAGTGTGATAGGCACTTACGTTTTAAAGGCTGAGGATATTAAGACTAAAACCATCTGATCTTTTTTGTATGCCTAGCTTACAAATTCCCAGCCATGAGATTGTACTCAGTAGGTCTGCTCACCCTGTCTTGCAGAATAACCAACCATGACTACAGAATCGGGATCAGACTCCGAGTCCAAGGATAAAGAGCAGGATCAGGAGGAGAGCCCTGCGCAGGAAGGGGCGGCGGAGACCCAGCCGCAGGAGCAGCAGCCGCAGCAGCCGCAGCAGCCGAGTGAAGAACACCAGACCGCGCTCGAGCAGTTCTCGGCTGTGGCAGCGCACAGCACGCCCGTGAGAAAGGAGCAGGTAAGGCAGCCCATGTACACACGCTCGCTGCACACAGCTGGCTGAGTGCCCACCTACTGCTGCCAGGAAATAACCAGCCTGGCACGTGTGGAGTGCAAATATACGTTCAGATACATGTGGAAGGTGTTTGATGGGATGCTGTAGATCTGGGCTGGTTGGTCTTTCGCGTTTAAAGGAAAATAGTTCTCATGAAAAGTGTTTTCAATTTCATGGCAGGCATTTCTGCCCCCAGTACTTAAACAGGAGGGCAGTCTCATTAACTAAGCAGGAAACATCTTCGACCATGCGTTTGCATTAGATAGCAAACAGTGTCAGTTTTTATGAAGCTGAAAATGTTTTCAGAGTTCATTCCTTTTGACACCTGCTGAACACTGATTTCATGCCTGCTTGTCTGATGTGTGAGCCATGAAGAATCTGTGGTCCCTTAAGTTTCTTGTTGGTCTGAAATGACTGTATTATAATTACTTGAGCTATTCATGTAATAGGTTTCAGAAGAGCTATTGCGTGCTTTCCCATTTAGTTCATTGTTGCACTTATTAAATTTCCAGAAGCTGCTTTCTTCTTTCCGTTAATAATTTCCAGTCAATAGGATTAACAGGCATTTTTCTTCATGGGTAAGTGACACACAATTAATGAGGTACCTGCAAATCTCTTCCTTTAGCTTCGTAAGGTTATGACCCTCATCTGATTACATTTACCTTTGGAGAGTGGAATAAGCCAGTCTAGCTCCTCCTCTTCTCTATCCTTTTAAAAATTCTGGCTGTTTGAAGTGGGCTCCTGTTCTTTTACTTGGTTGGGGTAGACAATGCTGGCAAAGCAATTTTGATCTCTCAGATAGATCAGAAGTTTCCTAGAATTAGTTTGGGGAGAAGAAACAAAGCTTCTCCAAAAGAGATAGGTGTTGAATGATTAAAAGTGTAATTCTATCAGTCTTAGGCATAAGTGCTATTCTTTATATAGATGTTTTTCCTGGCATCTTCAGTAATCTTTCCACTTCAAGTTTCTTTTCTCATTAAAAATGTAAAACAAATAAGCAACAGCAGCAAAAAACCCCAAACAACAAAACAAGCCCAACTCCACAATAACCACACACATAAAAAAAAGCCCAAACTAATGTAGACACCAAGCCTGTCCATGTGTGTTTAGAGGTGTGGGATGCTCTCGTGTGCTGCATCATCCCTTTCTTTCCCAAAGACCACCAGTGAGCTGTTTTTTGTAGAAGGCAAGATAGAAGAACTGGGTTAGTGAAAGGGATATGTGACACCTTCCTGCTGAGATTACCAGACTGAATCCAAAAGTCCATGCTGTAAGCCGACTGCCAAGTCCAACTGCACTAATCAGCCCAGTATATTTTGTAGTGCCTTAAATGTCTGTATCTCAGGAAAGGGACATTTAAATACAGCACTACGAGACAAAGCTGTTTGCAGTAGTGTCATTAAAAAGTCAGAAACTGAAGGATCTTATTCTCTCTCTCGCTGTCCATAATTGCAGTGAGAGAGTGGATTTTTGCTGTTACTTATATGAGAGAACCTTGGGATGGAAGATTTAAGTTACCAGTCCATGACAGTAACTTTTCTTTGTCATCCTATGCACATAAAACCCCCCAGCATTTTAATGTAAGTGAACAACCTTTTCATATTGAGATTAACAGTTATTAGAAAAATAAGTCCTTCCTATCAGGTGTAATAATGCAACCTCACTTTCTGCATGCCTTCCTGTCTCTTTGAAAAAGAAAAGGTGGCATCACACAAGGTCGGGCACCAAAGTTTCTGAGTAACTACCATAAGCAGATGGGAGTAATGTGTTTTGCAAGTGTGGCAATATCACTTCATACCCCAGTGAGAAGCTGCAAAGCATCCAAGATCTTTATTGCTGAATCTCGTGACTCCAGAGGCATCCTTTGAGAGGAGGTCCAGATTTAGAAGGGCTTGAACATACTGTGTCATACATGAGAGAGATTATGCTCAAAAAATGCAAACTCTGAAGCAACTTGTGCTGCATTAGAATTTAGTCCATAGCACTTAAAAAATACTGCAAAAACAGAACACAGAAACTGCCAAAAAAATGTAAAAAAACCAAAATACAGTACAGAAATACCTTGGAGAAGAATTTATAAGAAAATTAATCTATCCTTGCAGAGTAAAAAATAATTCACCATGTACATGGGTCTTTCACTGGCCTTTTTTTTTCCTGGGTTCCAGGATGTCAGGTTTCTTTAGGAAGAAGAGACTTAATACAGTCTGAAACTACCTCAATGCCTGAACATGTCAGCATAGTTTGGGGGAATCTTCTCTAATAGTTCTTGGCATGTTTTGTTCTCCAGAAAAATGAGAGGAAAACCTTTTGTATGATTTTAACCTAGACACATTCCCCTGATCTTACTGTAGATGGGAACCTTAACAAACAAAATAACCTCTGTAATATTTTTTAATATTTATAAATAAGGAAAATGCTGCAGTAGTCTTGATACACTGACTGTCTTTATGAAGGAAAATAATGACTAGTCCATTGGGATCCACATAAATTGCTCTCAGGCTGAGTATGGTTCTAAGTTATAAATGGATGAGGGGTGTCCTTGTTGTGGATTTTTTCCTCAAGCAGCTTTTCTGTTTTCTTCAAAGAGATTAGTTCCATGCTGGGGTATTTTTTGGTTGTTTTTTGTTGGAGCACAGGGCTAACCCTCACATGAGAAATGTAATGAGCCACTAGGTAAGAGAGTGCATTTTCCTCCATTGCTGGAATTACTTTTTTTACCCACATATATGCACATGCACCTTTCCTGGCAGATTTCTTTTGACAAAACATACAGAAATCATCACAGCCCCTTTGCCCACCAGCAGCAGTGCAGCTCTGCACAGAGGCCCATGCAGGAGGCATCTTCAGTGCTGTTTGTTTCTCCTTGCACAAGGCTGGACCAGTTGCCAGCTGGCTGCAGATGTGGTGGAAGGCTAGCTGGCCTCAAGCCCTGCTGTGAGCCCAGGGGGTCTCTCCCTCGTCATCGCAGCTGCTGTGAGTGTTAAATGCCCAGCAAACAGCTGATCCACTTACATACACTGTGCCTTCCTCTCCCACCGGTTTTCAGGGTATGTGAGGACCTTTACATCCAGGTACAGAGCTGGTGTCCAGCTGCTGGAAGGAGGAATTCCTTTTGTGCTGGAGCTAGATGGGGAAAGAGGTGGCTGGTGCCTGGCTGCTCCTGAGGAAGAACATTCATGGCCCAGGAGATGCAATAGATTTTGAAAGCAGCTCTTGCCTTTTAATCTTTTAAGCCCCACTCTTCTCCAGTTTCCCTATCCAGGAATGCCCAGGAGGCTATTGCTGTGTCCTCCTTGCAGGGAGAGGAGGACTGTGAGGTCTTGCCATACCTCTTTGTAATTTGCTGGGCTTTGGTGGGATCTAACACTGTAGGGATCACAGCCAGCTCCAAATTGTCCTTTGCCCCATTGTCAGAAGGCAGAGGAGAAACTTAAAGCTTGTTTTTATAAAATCACTCAGGGACAGTACCCCATGATTAGAAGTACAGTGTTGTTTCAGGTTGTATGATGCAACATTGTTCTGGTCTCAAAGCAGCTTAAAGCCTTTGGATGGATTTGCTCCATTCTCATGAAGGTTTATTATATACAATGAATGGAAACAGACTTGCAGGATTAATTTACAATATATTTCCACTAATGCTTGTTGCTTATTACACTGAAATAATTCAGAGCAGGTTGGTTTTTTTTTGCCTTGTAGTGAGATAACAGAAAGATGTTTTTATTTAACTTAAGTTTTAGCTGAGGTATTACTGCACTCCTGTTGAGGTTTTGTTTGGAGTCTATCAGGGGTATAACTGATGAGAAGGGTAATGGCTGCAGCACAGTGCTGTTGCTAGGAAGGGTGAAATGCAGTAGAGCTGTTCTGGCTTTCATCTAGCACTGTGGAGAGGACTGGGGGCTGTTCTGCATCACGGGAAATTCAAATGGCCTGACCCTTAGATAAACCTGAGCAAAAGCAGCCATGGTCGTTTACTTCTTGCCCCTCTTCCCCGCTGTATATTTGTCTTCCAAATAGCACCTACTTCTCTCCAGCTTGAGAGGCTTACTGGGCATCAGCAGAGAGCAAAATTCATCCTCTCATCCTGTCCATTTAGCCAGCTGGCTGCACATTAAAGTTGCTTGGCCCCTCACTTCTGTCATGTTTTCTTAACCCTTTGCTTGGGTGCTTGAGGAGCCTTTCGCTCTCCCAGGGATGTCAGCATCCCTTTATGAATTCCTGCTGTTCAGGGGGGATCCATTCCCTCATTCGGGGACTGTTTTCCCACTGAGAGCAAAATTGGTGCAAGCTTGATGGTGTTTTTCTGTTCTGTGTGACACCATGGAAACATCGTATTATTTAACAGGTACAGAACTTCAAAGTAGTATCAAGAAAGCGTAGGAGTATCTGTTCATCGACAAAATTTACTGATTACTCAGTACTTCCAAAACACCAAAAAACAAGTACAGGAAGTGCATGTGGGATTTTGTACCTGTGGCAAAAGTAGAAGCCTTAAAATATTTTCATGAATGCCCCTCCTTCATGGGTATTCTGTACATTCTGGAGGGAGAAGGGAGGGTTGGAAGGAATATGGGAAATCTTTTCAGTAAAGACTCTGTCCTGCATCGTGACTTTCTTGTCCAAGCCCCCAAAAAAGGCTCACTTAAATGCTTGGGTGCAGCATTTACAGTGAATTGCAGGGCATGATTGGCTTATCTTATTTCAAAAAGTATCTTTCTTTCCTCTTTATAGGCCACAGAGAAAGAAGAGGAGTTTGCTGCTGCGAGTGCAAAACAGCTGGAATATCAGCAGCTAGAGGACGACAAGCTCTCTCAAAAATCTTCATCTAGCAAACTTTCCAAGTCTCCTCTAAAGATCGTCAAGAAACCGAAAAATATGCAATGCAAAGTGACGCTCCTGGATGGATCGGAATATGCATGTGAAGTAGAGGTAAATGGCTTTTTGTCATCTTTTTTTTTTTTTTTTTCATCCTGTCAGGAGATAAATGGTGAAAATTGTATTTCTGATTTAAGAAAAAGGATGAATGGCATGATATTTCCCCAGTGCCAAGCACAGAGATACTTTCATTGTTTTCTCTGGAGGTTGTTGAAGATGGTGCACAGATTTGAGCTAGGTGAGGGATTCTGAGCATTCCCTGAAACAGCCAGAGACTGTGGATTAATTTTCTGTTGGCACAAGCCACAGAAGAATGCAGAAAACAAAGTACAGGCAACAAAGCCGATAAACAAATAAGGATTTTGATCTCACTGGGCTTTTCTTTTCCTTGGTACTTTACTGAGTTGAGTCTTCCATTGAGTCATTGTCCATACAGAAATTCTGACTATTGTGAGATTATTGCGGGCATGAGAGACACTCTGGGCAAGTGGGGAAAATGTCAAGCACGAATAGCAGTGAGAATGGAGAGTTTTGTGTGCTTTTCCATGATGTCTGTGAATCATAACTGTGTCTGAATGTTACTGGCAAAAAGATGCTGTATTTTTTCTGTACGGAAGCTTGCCTTCCCTTCTGGGACTCTGAGAGGAACCTACTTTTGGGAGGGATGATCTTCACTGTCACTTAAAAGCCAGTCTGTGCCTGTGGGCAGACCCATGCTAAGCGGGTGCCTTCAACTCCAGAAGGCCCCAGAAAAGCAAAAAGTGAGCACATTTAGCATCTCAATGTAAGTGTGAGAAAATTCAGCATCTCAGGGTGGGCCCTTTCTCCATTCAGTCATTGTCATCAAGGTGATTTTTGGGCAGTGGACCAGCCTGTCCTGTTTTAGGTCACAAGGTCATGCCCACAAGACAAGGTTGAGCCTGACCAAGCAGTGGCTGCAGAGGAAGGATGAGTCTTGGAGGACCTGGCTAAGCCAGCCATCCTTTGGGTTACTGAAGAGTTCCATGGAGAAGAAAAGCCATCTGGGGAGAGCAGGAGAGTATAAAGGAAGAGATGAAATAGTCTGCAGGCTTGAAAGGGAAATCCACAGGAGCATGGAGAAGGAGAAAGGACAGAGAAAAGGAGTACCTGACTGGGAGCCAAATCTTTAGCATCTTTACAATCACGTTGCACACAGCCCACTTGTCCTTCAGCTGCTCTCATTTTAGGTGCTTTGGAGAGCGGCAGGTGAGGAAAAGCCTTATTGGTTTTTAGTTAACTCTGGCATTACAGTTTGGGTCAAATGTTGTCATGCTAGGAGTGAGCTGCAAACAAGCTGGTATTTTACTACTCTTACGACAAATTAGCTGTCCATGTGGCTGAGTATCTTTTCATTTCACTGGCCAAGTCCCATGTTGTTTCCTTCAGCCTAGGACTAGCTATGTGGACACATCCCTTGTGACTATTAAATGGTCATTTCTTGACCTGCAGTCTCAGTTTTGTCACTCAGGGATAGTGTGGGAGCCATTAAGCTGGAGGAGTGACTCATACTGGCTTTGATGGAAAGAGTCAACTCATTTCAGCTTTTGCCACTTGCTTGTAAAATGTGAGTCACTTTTTGGAATACAATCAAGCAAATCTTACCAAATAAGATTTCTATGGAAATCTTGTCTAGCAGGCTGAGGTTTATCAGAATCTAAGATGGAGCAGAAAGGGAGATTTGTTATGTTACATTTCTACTTATGCAAAGAAATGCTGTGAATAATAAATACTTTTTATAGGAAGTTTCACTCTTTCACTAAACTTGAGTTCTCTTGAAGCGTAAAAATACTGGCATATGGAAGCCATCCTGTTTTATTGCTTGTCAAATTTCTCCCTCTGCTTTGCAAGTTCTGAATAGCTCTTGAATAATGTCCAATATAAGTTTTGTATGATTTTTTTCTATTTACACTGCTGAAATATTTTCAAGTTGTATTGACTGTCAGCAGTAATCATTTTATCTGCTTCTAAGATGATCAGGCTTCCCAGGCAGAATGCAGTATTGATGAGAAGAGAGCTCCTGAAAGCATGACTTTTTAAAGGAGGAAGCTGTAAGGCTATGATGATGAGTAGACCATGGGGTACATTGAAACAAAGTTAGTTAGGAGGAACCAGTATTTCAGATTTAACAAGTGCAGCTGGAGTGGTGATACACCTTACATGCTTTAAACAGTGTGATTCAGACTTTGCATCCTTCCTAGGTAATATTATCAGTATGTTGTATGTATTGATGATACAGCTGCAGGTGCTTCTGTGGCACAGCCAACTAGCCCATGGGAATTCTTGGTAGATCCAAAGGAAGTCCACTTCCTGCATGTATAAAGCTTAGCTACAGCAAAAGGATGCTGAGTCCAGCCAAATGATGTGACTTTTGCTGTGCTTTTTCTCCAGAGGAGTAAAAAAGAATTCACAGAGGGAGTTATTAGGGCAGGGAAACTGAGGGTCTGTCTCAGGAGACATCTCAGGAAATTGTGTAGGAGGCTGAAGTTCTACAGAAGTGTTGGGTAATAAAGTTCTGTGTCAGTTACACAGAAACTCAATGCTGCAGCATGAGAAACAATCTATCATATTTCAGAAAAATGCTATAATATTTTAAGGATCACCTTCAAGTGAACTCACTGTATCAATTTAAATGGGGGGAAAATGTATGTGTGCACAAGCATCCATATATATATATATATATATATATATATATATATATATTTTTTTCTCTGTCAGCAGCACACTAAGCCATGAAGTTTTACAGAATCACAGAATGTTATGACTTGGAAGGGACCCAAAAGGAACATTAAGTCCAACTCCTAAGTGAATGGCCAAACCAGGGATTGAACCTACCCCCTTGGTGTCATTATCACCATGCTGTAAGCAAGTGAGCTAATCTCAGTTCTTTCTTATATACATATAAAATATAAAGTATACTAAGGCACCCAACAAATTATGGAGGTCAGTAAATTCCCCAAGACTAATTCTTTAAAAGAAAAGGGAGAGGGATAGACAACATGGCAGTCAGATATTTAATACTTCCATTCCTTTTGTTCAACCCACATAACTGCATCTTTCAGAGTAGACAGTGACCCAAGGTAGGGATGTGACAATTTTAGATGTAAGTCAGAAATGTCATCCTGTGTTGTCAGCTCCTTTCTTTCTGCTCCATGTGTATCATGCTTCTACCTACTGAAGGCTAAAAAGCAATGTAATCTGGAAGGACCAGAAACGTAGAAACCTAATTTTGAACTAGAATAATAGCTCTGTCAGTGAATCTTGATTTGGATGCAGGCCAGGTATTTATCTCTCCAGAATTGCATTCCCTAGTCTGGGAGTTGGGGATCATTATAGAATCCATCAGTTACTCTATAAAGTGCTTTGCAAATGACAAATGCTTTTTATGTATGTTAAATATTAATGTAATTTAAAGGAGCTTATTGCTCTCCAGTAGAGCACAACCTGCAGCTTATCAATTATGTGTTCATCCCGCTAATGACCTGGCAGCCGACGTGGCACGTACTCACAGATTGAGACACTTCTGAGGCAGGTTTGGTTAATCCATTATGCCCTTGCTGTCCTTTGTTTCAGAAGCCCCTCTTTCTTATTCCATATTTAATGCTGAGCATTTTCACTGTCTGCTGCTATATCTTTCAATCTCTTTCACATTCAGTGCTTTACATTTGTGACACTGGGGTTTTTTTCATGTTGTATGAGATGTATGAGGGAAAGTGTAGTGGAGCTAACTTCAAAGCTGAGGTTAACAGGGGGTCATCTAATGTAGTCTCCATTCAGTGAAAGGATCTTAAGCAAATGCCAGGTAAAAGCTTTCCCTTGAGGCCCTGCAGTGTTACTGCCTGTGTGCTCTATCTGTCCTGACCCAGAAAGTCTTTCATGCAGTAACACATTACAAGCCAAAACCAGGCTAAGGAGGTAACCCAACCTGTTAATTCATCCTCCTCCAAAACCATACACCACCAGTGTTACCATCTGTACCCCCAGTGCTGCTCTTGTCCAGAAGCCTGCAGATGGTAGTGGCAGCCTTATTTCCTTCAGAGGTGGGATGTTTCCTTCAGAGCAGGGTTTCCTTCCGAGGTGGGATGGCCACCTGATGGTGCTTTCCCTCCCCAGGGAAAGCTGTTGGCTTTTGGAAAAGAGGTATTTGTACATTGACATTGTCCCCAGTCTGCCAAGACAAACAGCCTCAGGGCAGCTGTGTGTTTCTCCCATGTCATGAAGGGCCTGGAGATTTCTGAGGGGTGTTGGATCACAGGAGTCGATGCAGTCCATTCAGAGGAACAAATCGTGGTGGTTTCCACCTAGGTGTTCACCCCTGCTGGCAGTGGTTCTCCTTGGGTTGTTCATGATGCTCTTCCAACCGGCATCATGCTCAGAAATGTTGATTGTCAAAGTATCCAAGGTCAGAGCTGTGGCCAAAACTGCACTTCAAATTGTCACTTTTAAGCAAGCTAGACCTATGCTTTGCATTCATTGGTTTGAAGAGCTAAGGAGAAAGCAAGATCCAAGACTGCAAATTAATTTCACATAACCTAAAAAAGGCAATGAACACACTAGTTCAAGTTTTTCCTAAGATTCAAGAAAACAAGCAAAAATAACTTCTTTCTGGGTTTCTTCAGCTTTAAGTAGGAGTTTTCAAATGCTGTAGTACAATTATGTTTCTTCCAGGATTTATTTCCCTTCTTGTCCATATCTTCCCCATCTCAATTTTCTGTTATCTAGACCGCTGCATTTTAATTAAAAGATGCAAGTGGAACAAGCTGTCATGCTCTCCATTACACATAGCCTAATTTAAAGTGTCTTCCTAAAACACGTTGGAATTTGTCTTTGTTGCTGCTCTAAATATATACATGCTGTCACTCACAATGTGAGGGCAGAAAGCTGTAACATAATCTGTCTAAATAAATGGTAAAATAATTAGATTTCATTTTGAAAGGCTCAGCTGTCTGAGGCCATTGGTAATTTATACTCTTTCGTCATTCCTGTACCACTCAGACTTTCTTATCATGCAGGCCACCAGTGAATGAAAACAAATG